CACTTAATAACGGTGTGTAGCTATAGTTCAAATTCTGGTCATATATGGAACCCCATATTAAATTTTCACTTTTCAAAGAGTTATCTTTACAGCTATCAAAGTAAGTATAATAACAACAATTGGGCCACACCAAACATGTTAATACCTTCATCTTCCTACTATATCGGAACGGGAAAAGTCATTTCTTGATAAAACTTCTGATTCCTTTACGCTCATGTCTGCATCAACCTCGTTTCTACTTGTGAAAAATGCTGGCCTTGTTGGTATAGGTAATGACATGCTTTCATTTGTCAACATAGATATGACTTCTGACATGGTAGGCCGATCTGTTGCATCTTCTTCTACGCATAGCAGACCGACATGGATGCATCTTATCAGTTGATCCTCAATACATGATTCATGTAGCGTTGGATCCATTAATCTTAGCCCTGCACCTTCATTCCATAACCCCCATGCCTGAAATAAGCTTATATTCATTTAGGATATCAGACTCTCTCCAGTCTCACCTCAAAGAATAAAAATCTTAATCATAGAGAGATTAGCTTGACATACATATCCTACTATATTCAAGACGCGATCGGCATTGTAGAAGCTATTATTTTTCCTACCACTTATGATTTCAAGCGTCAATACCCCAAAGCTATAGACATCGGACTTTGTCGAAAAAATTCCTGCCATTGCGTACTCTGGAGACATGTAACCACTGAAATTTAAAAGAAAAGGTACAATTTAGTACATAAACGCTAGCTTGGCAATCAAAAGTGATAGGCATGATACATAAGAATGCACTGCTTATGCATATAACTTACTATGTCCCAACGATCCTATTAGTATTTGCTTCCGGCTCGTTATGCGTGAAAATCCTTGCCATACCAAAGTCAGAAATTTTGGGGTTCATATCTTCATCAAGTAGTATGTTACTAGCTTTAAGATCTCTATGAATCACCCTCAATCTTGAATATTTGTGCAAGTAAAGCAGTCCTTGAGCAATTCCTTCGATTATATTAAAACGCGTCTTCCAGTCTAGTAATATGCCTCTGGTTGAATCTGCCCAATGCATTAAACAGTTAGAAAAGATTGAAAAACTATGCAATCTTCAAAATCAGATAATATAAACCTGCAAGAAATGAAACAAATACTGAGATTAAATGACAGGTCTGATTCCCAACCAAATAAAAAACAGTCTAGACTGTTGTTTGGCATATACTCGTATATTAACATCCTCTCTTCACCATGAATGCAAAATCCCAAAATCCGAACAAGATTTGTATGTTGAAGTTCAGATATAAGTATCAACTCATTCTTAAACTCCCATGTTCCTTGTAGCGAACATCTTGAAAGCCTCTTCACAGCTATTTCTTGTCCCGTCGACATTTCCCCCTGAATCAATGATCCATAATAGGCCATATAATCAATTTTCCTTAACAACAAATAACAATATTACTTTCGTATTCTTTAGAACCTTACTTTATAAACTGGTCCAAAGCCCCCTTCTCCAAGCTTGTTTTCATCACAGAAGTTTCCTGTGGCTGCCTTGACAGATGCATAGCTAAATATTCTTAAATCATGCCCCATATCTCCATCATTCTGAAACGCATTGACATCATTAGATGTGTAAGATTCCGTCACGTCAAGCACTTCCTTGTCATCAATCTTTCTCCTGTTCTCCCCTGTTTTGATTAATGCATTACATTAAGATTTTCATTTCTCAAATCTGTGAAATTCTGTCAAAAGCTTCCTTATGCTTGCAGAATATACCTGGAAGTAAAAAAATTCTTCTTCTTAATAAACAGCACATGATGCAAAGCACCATTGTCAATAGAGCAGCAGCA